TTCGGAGGAGGCCTAATCTGTGGGATCTAATTGGTCTAGTGGAGGTGATTGGCAGCAGGCGGTCTCTCAAGTAGGGGGCTTGCAGAGTGCTCCTGGGGGGTAGTACATTTTTTGCAAAAACGGGCCCCTTTTTTGTCAAAAAAATTTGCATGCATAGCCTTTAGGAGGCTTTTAGAGTACTCCTGGGGGCTGGGAGGGCAAAATTGAGCAAAAAATGGCCCACTCTTCACTCATTTCTGCCTTCTCCAGCCCTGCGGAAATCCTACAGGTTCTGCATGGCCATTTTGGTGAAGGGGCAGGGTTTCAGGAAGCAAAAAATGCTGTGTTCAGTGTATAAGACGCACCCAGATTTTCAGCCTCTTTTTTGAGGGAAACAGGTTTGTCTTATACTCCGAAAAATATGGTAACTCTTGTTCCGTGGCGAGTTGTCCCGCAGCAAGTTGGCTAAGGCGAGTTGTCCTCGTAGAGCCACTATACCAGGGGTGTCAAATTCAAATTGTCATCACATGACATATCGTGACATTTTCCCCCTTTGCTAAACTGGGGGTGAGGGTGGCCAGCATGTGACGCATCCAGCCCATGAACCACGAGGTTGACACCCCTGCCCTATACACCATGTGCTAAGTTACAGGAATTTAACACAATCCATGTTTTTATTTTTGGTTTATTTAATCAAATTTAGAGAATTCCCATCTCACCCATATAGCAATAGTTGATTATTATGTTTCACTTGCATGTCTATTATTTTTTGTGTACTCCTAAATGTTTCATTTAAATGTAGATGACGATCAGTAAAGGGAATTCCAATATATTCTTGCAAAAGCATAATGTGGAAATGTCTGTATGTCGGGATCTTATATTTATTTTTGATAACCCATTCTGCTTTTTTTTTTTTGCAGACCTATGAAGTAAACTCTTTTCAAGATGTGGTAAAACGAGTTGCTGCCAGTGCCTTACTTCCCTTTTTAGCTGTTAGTAGAAGTGCCCAGAAATGTGCCCTAGAAGGTGAGATGTTACCTAAAAATTAGGGATTTTAAAGCAGGTGTCATTCATTGTGTCATTAAATAGAATGAATGACCCCATAGTAACAGCTGTTGTTGGGTTTATTTCCTGTGATGTCGATGATGGCTTGCTAGTTATGTTCAATGTCAGGCAAATTAAGAACGTGGGAGTCAACAGCAGGTTCTTGTTTTGCCAGGTATGTTCTTGCTGTGTGCACTGAACAGATTCTCATTTCCACCATTATGGCCCATTTTCAACCGATGGTGTCTTAAGTGAGATTAGTGATGAGAAGCTGATGATTCCTATTACAGCTTCTTTTAGATTTATGCACCTGAACAACTGACCAGGATATATGTGTCCTTCTTTTCTACCTTTGTATTAGCTTTTTATAGATATGGGGTAATACTGACTGCAGGAAGCAATGCCAATAGAATGCTTTTGATATTTGGAGTAAGATCATCATGGAAAACCTGACAACTACAAAATGTTACAGAAATCATGTCCTCAAGAGGCCTGGCCAGTTGTAGAAAGAAAGGGAAGGAAGGAAGGAAGGAAGGAAGGAAGGAAGGAAAGAAAGAA